TTATTTGTATCCCACTTTTCTCCCCATTAGGAACCTGAAGCGGCTCACATCATCCTGAAATACTGCAGAGACACTTTTTTGTTGTGAACTTCCATCTGGGTTCTTTGTGGGGTTTTTATTTCATTTACTGTGGGGTTTTATCCAAGTTTCTAAGCTCTCTGCTTGCCAGCCACCCTCTTGAGCCTTGTTGCTTATCTGCCACTCCGAGGACTCTATTTCCTGCAAGTGTCATCCTTATTTTCATTTCCTCTGTTTCCATTCTCCTTTTAAATAATTCTGTTCCCCTTTTGCTTACTCCTACAGCAATCTGGCTCTTTGCTCTATTGTCCATGTCCTATCACAGGCTAAAGTACCACATCTTTGTTAAGGGCTTTCTCCTGCAACATGGTCAGTTCTGGGTTCGATTTGCAATTTCTCTCTCTTCTTTTCAAACTGATGAGCCAACTGCTATTCTCAGTTTGCTTAGCTCTGTGCTGCTTGGTTATGATGTGGTGTGGTCTGAAGCATTTTTTGTGGTGCAGTTGCCACACTGCTTTGGAGCCCTTAATGCTGGAACTGAAGAAATGTCTCCTTGCAGGGCGGAGTTCCCTGAGTCCCGCAATGAGTGATTTGAGGGTGGCCTGAAGGTTATTATAGAGTGCACAGTTGTTTAAGTATCATGATTTGTGGTTGAACTGGCAAATTAGGAAATGGGAATGAATTTGTAAAGATCAAGCCAGTGGTAGTCCAGCATGCTATTTCCATCAGTACCCAGTATCCGCCACTAAAACACCAAGGCTTATTCAGATAGATATTATGGGTGATGAAGTGTGCAAGCACATGAAAGCTTATATCCAGAATTAAACTTTTGTTGGTCTTAAAGATGCCACTGGACTCAAACTTTGTTCTATTGCTTCAGATCAATAGATCAACACACCCCTGAATCAGTCAACAGTAGACCTATTCTTCATACATCTGTTTCTTTTAAACTGACAGGCCAGCAACACATCTTGTGGCAGTGAGTTCCAACCATCACCTTTTGTATGGCCTTACTCTCATTGGTGTTTAACACGTAGGGTTGCCAAGGTCCTCCCAGGTCACTTCCGGGCGACGGGAACATAGGGTTGCCAGATTCAGGTTGGGAAACTCCTGGAGATTTGGGGTGGAGCCTGGAGAGGACACGGACCTCAGTGGAGTCCATCCTCCAAAGAATCTGTTGTCTTCAGGGGAACTGATCTCTGTAGTCTGGAGATAAGATGCAATTCCAGGGGACCTCCAGGCCCCACCTTGAGGCTGGCCTGGCATCCCTACTTAACACGGCTGGAGTGAATAAACCAAAACGCGAATCAGACGGCTTTGCCACGGGCGGGTCTGATTCATCTGGACACCACGCAACCAAGAACCGATCTCGCATCAGGTCCGAAAGACAGGGGGGGAAGCATTCCGAAATGGGTCCCTTTAACCGGCGGCCCCTAGACCCCCCCTCCCCCTCCGCCAATACGAGGAAACGTGTCATCTACGCTGCAGAGAAAGCTCCTCCTCGCGCAGGCAGAGACGCCGCCAGTGGCACGGCCGCGGAGGAGGCGAGCTAGGCCCGGCCCCGCCCCGCGGGAGGGCGGGCAGAAGGGTGAGCTGTTGCCAGCCCCGCCGCCAGCAAGGCCCGGCTCGTGCGCGGGTCAGCCCCAGCCTAGCGGAACGTCACCCCGGAAGAATGGGTGGGCGGTGGTGGTCGTGACTAGGGGCAGGCGGGGGAGGGCAGGAGGCGAGGGAGTGGGGCGGCGCGGCGATCGATGGCTGGAGGGCGCGATGCGGTTGGGGATGCTGGTTCGGGGGGAGCGAGCGGGGTGGGTGGCGGAGAATAGTGAGATCGTGTGTACTCCCCAAGGAACTCCGGGCGGCGTGCGAGGCTCTCCCCGCTGCTGTCTTAACCTCACACGACGCCCCTGGGAGGCTGGCCGGGTGAAGGGACTGGCCCAGCGTCATCTAGTGCGCCTCCCGGCTTCTCCCTTTTCGGATTTGAGCCCTGAGGTGCTCAGGAGAAAGGCAGGAGGGGGGATAAATCTTTTGTCCTCACGGGAACCTGGAGGGAGGGGAGGGGGTGGCGAGCAAGAATGGCTGGGTCGCACCCAGAGAGCTTCGTGCCTTCTGCTTCTTCTCATTCTAGCCTTACCCACCTCACAGGGTTGTTGTGAGGGTAAGATGGTGACTGCCCAGTATCAACCACTGAGCTCTATGGCTTCTGTATCCTCTCATTTCATTTGTGCAGCAGTCTTATGGAGTATATTAGACTGAGGCAGAGACTGACCCAAGGTTATCCGGTTAAGCCTCTTGGCTAAACAGGAATTTGAACCCAGATCTTCCCGAGTCCTGTTAGATATTCTGGGTGTTTTATGCCACAGTGGCTCCACAGTTTATTGGGTGGAAGGAAGGAATGAGGTTGTGGGAATGGTGTGGAAGTTTCTTGAGGGTGGTGTCATACAGACTGGCACTCTTTATTTTTTAAAAAATAGTGGTATGTATATAGCAGCCTGCTATGGATGCAGGTGACCTGTGACTGGTAGGTGGTATTGGGAGGAGAGGTGTTTTTGTAACTAGAGCTGAGGAAATCAGAGATGGCTATGTGTGGGAGAAGTCAGTGTATCTTGTTGTTTAGTTAATTCTTTTCGTTCCCACTTTTCTCCCCAATGGAGGCCCAGAGTGGCTTACATCGTTTTCCTCTCCTCCATTTTATCCTTACACCAACCCTGTGAGGGAGGTTAGGCTGAATGACTGTGAGTGGCCCAAGGTCAAGCAGCAAGCTTCCATGGCAGAGTGGGGAATCGAACCTGAGTCTCCCAGATCCTAGGCTGGCACCTTAACCACCAGCCTGCACTTTCCATTCCAGGTGTACTGTTCAAGAGAGTATCAGTGCTATGTTTAGGGATGGAGCACTAAAAAACTGCCATATTGGGGAGGAGAAGAGCTCTCTCTCTGTGTTGTGGTGGGCAGGGGTTTTACTTTACTGGGCTACAGGGTATCAGTGCCTGTGAGGATACAGAAATAATTGTGTGTGTGTTTTCTTGGGGGGGGGGAACATTAGTATCTAAGGAGTAAGCAGACTGCTTGGAGAGTAAGAAACCAGGAGAAATACTGAGAAGGGGTCACAGTTCCTATAGGGTGGTTCTTAGAGGTTTAGGCACCATGTAGAAACGACCATGAATGAAAATGGCATGTGGATTAGTTGCAAAGTGACCGGTACTCAGAGGATGATGAATAAAGTACTGGGGAAAGGATAACGTTAGGTTAACAATTACAGTGGGTCACTTTTAGATTTGAGGCCAAGTAGCACGTTAGAGACCAGTTACTGGCTAAGAGACAGCCGTGTGCATCACGTTGCATCTCTAGCATCAGTAATGGCCGTAGGCAGCTGTATGCCAATGTGCTGTTTCGTCATGACTGTTTCTGTAGATCCTTCCTTGGGCACAGTGAGCATTATGGAATTAGGAATGGTATTTGGTGTGCTCAATTAACTAAAGCAGTGGGTGGGAAGATGTCGAGATTGTTGGCTGGATGTTGTCAATAAACCCTATACTTAGACAGAAGTTGGACATCGGCCCTCCTACACAGGAATCGATTTTCCATAACATTGCTGATGAATGTGTTTCATTAACATATTCCCTCTATGTTATGCAGGGTTAAATTCTAGCAGGAGAATGCCAGTTTGCAAGAGCTAGGGGTCCTGCCCCATGGTTTCTCCTGTCCTTTCTGAAATAAGCAATCCATTTGCTGCTGCTGAAAATTCACAGACTGTTGGGAATATTTGACTTACACAGCATAGTGATCTGTACAGACATACATTCACAGTATCCTTTCATTTGGAAATTTCTGGAGAGAGATTCCTGAATCGCAGCATACTACAGAGACAAAAATCACACATACACACACACACACCCCGTGAATATGTGAAGTCACCAGTAGTCTGCAGTGGCAAGTCAAAATGTCAGAGGCTGGTTGGTTTAATGACCATGATATAAATAATACAAAACCAAGTCTGAGGTGCAGGTGTGAGCTTCTTAAGAGGGTCTCATCTCAAATAATACAAATGGAATATAGTTTTTCTGTAGCAAATTTAAGATAGCAGAGAACTGACAAAGTAGTTAGGGTTCTGTGGTTGTTAACAGCTCAGATATTATCTTCTTGTTTACATTTTTATGTAACCAAAATGGTTTAATAGTTTCCTGTCAGCTCGTGATGCTAATATAATTTCCAGATAAATACAGATAATAAAGTTCCCACATAAAACAGTGTGTGATTACAGAACTCTGTATTTTATGTGTGTGTTGATTAAAAGGGATGGTGAGATTTGTTCCTATTTCTGTGTTCGTGTGTTTTAAAGCAAAAAGTTCAGTATGTTTAGGAATGCTACTGGAGGAAATCATGGGACCAAAAGAACTTTGATGGTATTAATTCTTGATGTAATTGTTTAAAAATAATCTAAAGACTTTTTGAAAATTTAGCTCAAAAATCCTGTTTTTTTAATGTTAAATTACACAATGTAGTCTTTATGCTCATGAATGGTATAGGCTTTTGGAACTGTGGAAGAAGAATCTAAAGCTTGATCTCTGATCCATATTAAAGAACATTTTTTGACATAGCTGTGTGGAAAACCTTGCTTCTCGTGGCTTACCAATTTGCCTGTGCATACTGCTCTCATATATTATCAAATCTGGGACAGTTACTTTGCTGTTCAGGCATTGGGAGTTCCTTGGCAGATTTAGGAAGAGGCTAGCCACTGAGCCAAAAATTTAACTGTTTTACTTATTCCGCACTCTTCATCCATGTTCCTATGCTTGTTTTAGTTTGAGAAACTTGATAAGAAGTCACTTTGTGCAGCTTCTGTTTAACTGTTTGTAAACACTTCCACTTTTGTTTAGCTTTCTTTTTCAGAAATTGTGTTTTAATTCCTGTGTGCAAGGAAACCAAATTTTTGTGTGAAAAAAGTTCAGCTCATTCAGTCTTCTTGTGTTCTTCCAGGCAGTGCAATGTCAGCAGCAGAACCGCAACCAACGGAGGCTTCTCCATCATTGAATTCATCCAGCTTCTTTGAGGCAGCAGAAACAGATACAGCGAATAAATATGAGCCGGTTTCCCCACACTGGTTTTATTGCAAAGAAGCCGATTCCAGAGAAAGGTGGATTCCCTTTAGTGGACAAGATTCAGAGAAGTTAGAACATTTTTACCAATCCAGTAAGTTGATTGGGAGAGGAGGTATTTTTCTGTACAGGACTGAAGATTCCAGGCTAGTAATCTTTTACTGCACTCTATAATGCATTTGAGGAGTTCAGAGGTGTACAAAAATCTATCATCACCTAATTCTGACATATCTTCCCTTTGCAAAGTGTCTTGTGACCTGGCTGCATAGTTTATTCAGACTGAATCATGGATGTCTTAAATGAAACAGGTTATCAAGACTTCTGAGTTTTTCAAGCTTGAAATCCCTGATGGTTTTCTGAGTTTTTCAAGCTTGAAATCCCTGAAATCCCTTGAAATCCCTGACCGGAACCGGAAGCCTTTGATGTATTGAGTGCTTTACTAATTTTTGGTCTCTAAGCAACACTGAAAAGTATGATTCACAGTTATGAATGCCAAGTGATCAGAAGTTGCTTCGGTCTCAAAAACAGAAGTACTGTAAACAGCACCTGACTTTGTACTTTTGTGTGAGATCTGTTGGCTGTTGGGAAGTGTGCAGAGGTGTGTGTGTAAAGTACCATCACGTCTCAGCTGAGTTATGGCAACCCCAGCAAGGGGCTTTCAGGTGAGAAGCAGAGGAGGTTTTCCATTGCCTTCCTCTGCAGTCTTCTTTGGTGGTCTCCCATCCAAATACTAACCAGGGCTGACCCTGCTTAGCTTCTGAAATCTGATGAGATTGGGCTGTACCATGCCTCCTTCCCTCCCACATGTAGAGGTATAGGGAGGGAAATTTAGCTGAAGTAACATGGAAAGATCAATCAAATATTTATGGCACGATGTCTGCCCACATATTCATTTTGAAAACATTTTGTATTTTCAAAGCTATTTCTACAGTTTCTTTATAAAAAGAAAACCTAGAAATATGTAGTATTCTATGCGTAATGTTGCATTCTCTGCAAACGGCCTCTCATTTTCGCAGATCCTGTTTTTAAATTCATTTTAACAGGTAGCATAAAATGATAATTCTTTAAAGGTTGGAAGTCTATTTTTTTTAATTTAACGAGGTGATGCTGCTATTAATAGCCACTATATCATGCTGAAAAACAAAATCCTGCTCTATATAGGCTATTCTGTCTCTGTATTACGTTTTGAATTGTATACTCTTGAACAATTTCAGAGTATGAGTTATGGGTTCTGATCCAGCCCCTTATTTCTGGATGTCTTGTGCTGGCTGGTTGAATTGTTTTCTGTGTTCCGTAATCTGCCTTGAGTCTTGGTGAGAAAGGTGGGCTATAAATGAAGTAAATAAAATAAAAAGTGTGTGGCTTTTTAGTATCTACAGTTTAGTTCCTCCTTTTATCACACTCCTTGTGTTATGCAGGTAAAGACTGTGAGGAGCTGGTTGTTCCAACAGAAGGGGGCAGATATGATGTGCATTTGAAGAAGAGGCTCCGTTGTGCTGTCTATTGGGAGGAAAAAGACTCTGAAGTAAGGCGGTGCACTTGGTTTTACAAAGGAGAAGACAACAAATATATTCCATACTCTGAAAGCTTCAGTGAAGAGTTGGAGGTAATGTTGATTTAAGGACATCAGTCGTGTCCCATCATGCATTTTTCTGATCTCCTTGAGAATGTCCGACTTCATAGTGCCACAACCTGAGCGAGCTCTTAGCTAGTCATCCCTTTCCAGTGAAAGTAGTATTACAGGGCCATTTAAATTTGATTTCAATTAATATCCAAACGGCCTCCTGGCTAGTCCTTTCCTTCCCGTGTCAGTAGTGAGATTTAATCAGTTATAGGCAGTACACGCAGGTCTTCTACTGCTGTGTTTACATCTGCTCTTCTGATAGACCTTTAGTTTCTTCTATGTGGCAAATAAGCCTTTCTACTTTGTCTGTTATCTGTTTTATTCTCACAAATGGAGCCTGATTGTAAACTGAATAAATTTTTGTGCACAAATTGAATGGAGAGGGGTGGGGGGAGAGAGAGAATTAATATGGTGCATGGTGAAAATAACCTCTAATGGCGGTTGTGCTGTAGAAATGTCATCTTTACATATCTGCGTGCCATCTCACAAATGGAATCTGGGAAGTGACTAGTACACACATGATCTCAGTCTTAAAGAATTAGTGCACAGGATGATGTGAGCACATAATGCAAAATTGCCTCATGAGTAAATACTACTTGAAGGAATGATCTATATTGCAAGTATTTAAACAAAGTTTTCATTGCAGATGACAGACCATTCCCCCCCCCTTCTCTCTCTCTCAAAAAGTAGCACAATCCTGCCCTTAGATTTTGGTGGGGAGGGGGCATTTCCCAATAAATTTAATAGAGTACCTGCTGCTTGATGTCCTTATTGAAATTTCTGAAATGAGTGAACAATATTCTCTTGTCACATGGTAGGGACACAAATAAACGTTCTTGGTGACTGCTCCCTCAGTGAATTATCATGCTATTTTGGTCATGCTGTTAGTAAGGTGGATTAGGGTGGTATGTATATTGGAAAATTAGTTGGGATTTTATTGGCTGGGTACTTTACACTGTAGTTATAAAATTGTTTTTTGCTGTTGAATCTTTCACTGTGTTGAATCCTTCATTGTGCTGTCCAGCTAAGGAATCATTCAGTTAAGGTCACAATCAGATGTGTGTTTGCACTTAAGACTCTTACTTCCAAGTTACATTGTTGGTATGACCTAAACTAACGGCCCCCAACCTTTTAGAGTATGCAGACACCTTTTTATCATCAACATGTTTTTACAGATCCCCCACATAGTAGTAGCTGTACTATCAGTATCCATGGATTGAGAAGATACATAATGACAAAAAAGTCAAACTGACAATGCTTAGTGTATATATTTCTTCATGGACCCCTTGTAATAATTCCTGTCCCCTTGGGGTCTCCTGCCTCCAGGTTGGGAACCACTGACCTAAACAATGAAGGGCTCTCTGAAATATGGTTGTCTTGCTAAATATTTTTTTTCCTCCTTAGGAAACATATATGATCTGTGTCACACTAGATGAGTGGAAGAGGAAGCTAGAGTCCCCTTCTAGAGAAATAATAATATTGCATAACCCAAAGGTAAGTGGCTTTCTCGCACTGAGAAGTTCCTTCTTAAATAATTTTACAACCATTACAAGCTGTTTTCAGACTATTACTTTACATTTTGACTGCGTTTTAGGACCTTGGAAACATCTGTAAAGAGTGCCTCTGCTTCTTCACTAGTACATTTTAGAATCCTGATTGATTGTTTGTGTTGTATAGGCTTGTTATAGCCTTGCAAATACACTCAAGTTTAATATATGTTGGTACAGAAAGATTCCTGGGTGGCTTGCTTGAAAAATAATAGAAGTACATCTTACAATATGTTGGGATGGGGTGAAGGTTGCTACCAGCATCCCTACATGTTTTTTTATTCAGATTTTCTTTAGGCTCATATTTTGGTGATGGAGGCCTTTGAATGTGATTATTTGCACCTCTTTGGTACACTACTACACGTCTAACCTGATTTCTTTTGGTGGTTCTTTCAAGCTGATGGTACATTACCATCCCGTAGCAGTCTCCGATGACTGGGGTGCAAGTCCCACAGAGCAAGGTCGACCAAGAACAGTAAAGAGAGGAGTGGAAAATATTTCTGTTGAAATCCCTATCGGTAACTGGATGCTTCCTCTTCAGCTTGTTTGATTTTGAACTTTCTTTACTTTGATGTAATTTTATCCAGGGCATCTTGATTGAAATGGGTTATTTAAAGGGCTGCAAGAAATCTTTTTCAAAAAGTAATTTGATAGTTCAGATTTTGAGAGAACAAAATTTTGAAACATGTCTGCTCAAAACTGAAGAGATTGTAGATAATGTAAATAGCTATCTCTGTAATAACTTTTCTATTAATCTTTTTTTTAATTTCCTGTAATGATTTACAATAAGGCATTTGAAATTATCAAGGTTTCATTTTTTAAACGTTACGATTGCTAGTTTGGACCGGTATTTTCTGTGACCCATATTTTGAAAACTATCACACTCATTTGGCAAATGTCTCATCTACATGCACTATATAAGTTCTCTTACTTTTTGTTTCAGGAGAGCCTCTGCAAATAGATCATTTGGTTTTTGTTGTGCATGGAATTGGGCCAGCCTGTGATATACGGTTCCGTAGCCTTATTCAGTGTGGTAAGAGGAGATGCTGGTTTTTTTGTTGCAGAGAAGTCAGATGTATTTGTAAACATTTAGAACATTACTGTCCTGTTTCATGATGCAGTGGGTCCATAAAGTAGCTTGTGAAAGTAAAAAGAAGAAAACTCAGTACAGAGTACGAAAAAAAAAAATCAGCTAAAGCAATACAAGCCTTGTGGATGCCGGACACATAGAAGACCTCTCATTGATTCTAATTCCAGAAGACCAACATCAGCCATCGGAGTAATAGATGGATGCTAGATGTGCTCTGAAATACAACAGTTTTAAGTAAATGCTTTAAGACAAGCAGGCAGAAAGCCAGCCAAACAGGCCTCTTGAGGAAGGGTATTCTATATCTTTGGTCAAAAACAGCCCTTGATAGGAGTCCAGTTGGGAGCCAATGAACATTGTTTCAACATTGGAGTAACATACTTTGAACAGCTTGCCCTAATAGCGACCTGGTACCTGCCTGCATTCTTAAATATGTGCTTGTTGTCCAGGCAAAAGTACAGTTGTGTTGTATGTTTATTTTAATCCATATCCTTACATACTGTGGTTTCTTGCCTAGAAGCAATAAGAGAATTAGTTATTTGGCAGTCTAATAATGCTTGAGCCCTTGCAGGCAGTAAAAACTGCATGTGAGGATTTTGTTAATATTTTACACAGCTACCCATCCAGATATTTCTGAGAGGAAACTGGAGATTGTGTTAAAAGTGAATAAATATTTTCAATGTACTTTTGGAAGGGGTAGCATCTCTTGCACAGCATAGCTTTGAAGACGCTGGATCTTAGAATTAGAAAGAATAGGAAAACTTTACAAAAGGCAAATGTAGACTTACTGCAGATATATCAGGGGACTTACTGTACTGAAATACAGTGATTTAAATTTTCTGGAACTCCTTCATGGTCCTGATTCAGTGAAATGGATGCTAATGTCCTACACAGGAATTTTTCAGAAAAATTAGACTGCAGTTCCTTTGAAGACAGACTTCCTTAGCTATTTTCATTATAACTCTCATCTACGGTATGTTGTTGTTTTTGCTGTCAAGTCACAGCTGACTTGTGGCTACCCCGTAGGGTTTCCAAGGTGAGAGACTTTCAGAGGTGGTTTGACATTGCCTACCTCTGTGTCATGACCCTGGTATTCCTTGGAGGTCTCCCATCCAAATACTAGCTAAGGCTGACCCTGCTTAGCTTCTACCAGACCAGTGCCGGACCAATGCATTTTAAAAGCCCAGCTGTCTTTAAAAGTCGTGGTGGAACTTTTTGGTTTTTGATGGTCAGATCCTTTTTATTCTGTTCATTATCACCTAATGCTTCCCCATATAAATTGCAGTTTCAAATGCAGTTGTGCTTGTTTTTATGTGTAGGATTGTTTTTCAGAAGCTTGGCAACGCTTGGTTTCCAGTTCACCTCATTTCCTGCATAAATTGGGTAGAAATAGTCTAACAATAGTCTAATAGCAATAGTCTAACATGATGACATTCAAATAGTGGGTCTTGAGTACCTTGTGAGTTGATCAGCAGCTTCTGGCTGTGCGTGTGAGAACTGCAAAGCCTTGAAATTCAGAAACTGGGATGAACACATTGAGTTGCAGGTGGTGACCACTGTGGTTTGCATACATGAACTAGGTATGGAGTTGCGTGTGCAAAAGCTGAACAAGCTTTAATTAATTAATCTCTCGGTGTGTGGTGCAGCGCATGTGGCCGCCGCACTCAAGCTTGAAATTGTTTTCCAGTCGATGACTTCCGCAGCGTTTCCTTGAGTATGCTGCAAGCACACTTCAAGAAAGCTCAGGAGCAACAACAAATTGGCCGAGTTGAATTCCTTCCAGTGAACTGGCACAGTACTTTACATACTGGTGTGGATGTGTAAGTAAATCTTTCAATTTTTCTAGCAAACCTACCGGTATCTGTGACTGCATGTTGTTAGGAGTATTGTGGTTAATTCTGCTGTTCCATAGAATGCTAGATCTGTGCTTTTTGTCAGGAAGCTGTGGACATAGAATAGCAAACAAAAGTGTCTTATATTGAATCAGGCTTTTCGTCCATTAGGGTCAGCACTATTTATTCAGACTGGCAGTGGTGGTGCAAGATTTCAGGCAGGGGTCCTTCATATCACCTGACCTTTTTCACTGGAGATGCCAGGGATTGAACCTGGGATCTTCTGTGTGCCAAGCAGATGCTCTACTCCATGTGCTCTGGATCCTTTGCATACTCTGACTCCGTGCAGCATATTTGACAAATATGCTTTAAACATATGTAGCATTCCTGCTTGTCCATTCTTCCTTTATCCTTTTCCCATGGCAACTTATTGTCTCTCTCATCCTCTGCCTTCCCACTTAGAGTAATAGAAGCCAACTCTCTGCTCAATGCAGGATCAGCCTAAAGCATCCTTGACAAGTGTTCATCCAACTGCTGCTTCAAGGCTGCTAGTGAGGTGGAGCTCACTTCCCACTGTATCTCTCATTGTCAAGAGAGATGGCCTTCCCAGTGCACTATTTTCCCTACCTAAATGGCTGCAAGGAGGCCAGTATTACACTTAATGTCAGTTTTCCCCATAGGGTAAAAAGCAGCTCAGTGGGGCAATTTTGGGTTGGGAAAACGGGGACGAGACATAAGTCCTTTTTCTCCATGATCCCAATCGAAATTGGACTCCCAGGCACCTGAGAATTAAGTTTGGAGTGTTGAACTCCCAGTGCATGTCTGATAGAAAGTGGATTTCATAACATGTCAGTTGGCCTTCAGCATCCCATTCTCAGCTCTGTAAGATGTGGCTCAGCAAAACTGCTTAATATATCTGGATCTGATCTAGAGTACTTATGGATTCATAATGGCATTCTACTCATAGGTAAAGGTAAAGGTTTCCCTTGCTCGAAAGCCAGTCGAATCCGACTCTAGGGTTGTGGTGCTCATCTCCGTTTCAAAGCCGAAGAGCCAGCGCTGTCCGAAGACATTTCCGTGGTCATGTGGCCGGCATGACTAAACACCAAGGCCCACGGAACGCTGTTACCTTCCCACCGAAGTGGTCCCTATTTATCTACTTGCAATTTCTTGCTTTCGAACTGCTAGGTTGGCAGGAGCTGGAACTAGAGATGGGAGCTCACTCCATCATGCGGCACCCCGGTCTTGAACTGCTGAACTACTGACCTTCCACAGCCTGCAGTTCAGCGTCTTAACCATAGTACTTAACCATACTACTGTATGGGTGCAGTGTGGCCTACATGGTAGCCATTGTATTAAATTATCTTAGATCGTGTTCATCTCAGTCCTATGCATGTTTACTTGAAAGGCCACTAGACTCATTTCTCCATCTTGGAATACAGAGTACAGCATTTGTAACTGCCTGTATTTTCATCCTGCTGCCTTGAAGGAAGCTTCCCTGTAATGAAATCAAGCTTCTGTGGTACAATTTGAGATTTGGAATCCTGATTGGAAATGAAAGCTGCAAAAAAGGAGCTCTTAAATGCTTTTTTTCTAAATGCCCTTCTCTGTTTTGTCTTCAGAGAGCTGGAAAGAATCACCTTGCCAAGCATCAACCGCCTGCGTCATTTTATCAATGACACTATCCTGGATGTTTTCTTCTATAATAGCTCCACCTACTGCCAGACCATTGTAGACACAGTTGCTTCGGAAATGAACCGGCTCTATCTACTATTCTTGCAAAGGAACCCTGACTTTAAAGGGGGAGTTTCAATAGCAGGTCACAGTTTAGGTATAAATCGCTCTGTTTCCTCAATACATGTACAAACAAGTGAGCTTGCATGCATGTTGGATGCTCCATTTCACTTGGGTTTGGGGTCTTTATTCTGATACATGGTAGAACAGTGTGGGCTTGAAAGATTAAATGTGAATCATCATCCTTCTTTTCTCCCTTCTTCCACCTTTAAAATTTTAATTGAATACAGAGATCTGTGTGGCTTCCTGAGATCTGGTATCCTGTAGTCTCTTTGTTTAAAGCTTTAGCAGGAAGCTGTCATTCAAGGCAGTTGCTCACAAGCTATGAATGTGTTTTGGGGTCATTGTGGCTAAGTATCAAGAGATGTAAACATACCAGCCAGAGATACAGAATTCTGTGCCGCAATCTGCCCCAAATCTGCAACCCTAGTCCTTGTGTTCAAGTGCGTAGAGATAACTAAAATTTGCACCTGCGTGCTTAATGTTTTAGCTGTAAACTCCCACTCCTGCTGTTTCCCAACTTCCTCAAACTTTGATTTTTGAATGCATTTTTGTCTGTGGCTTTAGGATCTTTGCTGTTGTAAAAATCAGACCACAACCATAGTTTTGTGCTGTTTTTAAGATTATTTGTTGGTTTGCTAAAACTTCTCTGAATCAATAAGGTCTCAAATTAAGGGAGGAGAGGGTGCTTGCCAGGCAGTTCTGGCCTCTCTGAGATTGACATCCTGCTAACCATTTTGTGTCTTTTTTTTAGGATCACTTATATTGTTTGATCTTCTCACTAATCAAAAATGCACTACAGAGAGAGAAGATGATAACAAGGTACATTTGTGCATGTAGAAGCAGCTTCTGGATTTAAAACAGGTCTCTTGAGTATCCTGTAGCTGTATACATTATCTGTATAACCCTGTGGTTCTGCAGATCTTTGAGCTGCAGGCATGTTCAGCCAGATAGCTTTGTAATGTTCTGTGCTCCGGTGACAAAGTTGCCTCTTTCCCAGAGAGATACTAATTTTGAACAAGGGTCTGGTAAATGAATTTTTTTGCCTGATTTTTCTTGGTACTTTCCAGGAAAACAGCAAACACTATTTTATTTATTTAATTAATTGATTTTATTTATACCCCGCCGAAGCAGGCTCAGGGTGGCTTACATAAAAATTAAAACAAATAAAACAGAACATTTATAAAACCATTCGTAAAGTGCTAGTGTACAGTATTGCATAGTGATGGCAAACATAGTAACAAATCAGTCATAGTGGGAGTACAATCAGCATTGATATTAGGACTCTTATCTCAGTCCGTTTATTCTGGTGAGGTTCATGCTGCCAATGGTGGTTCTAGGGCACAGGGTCTCTTGAGCTACAGGGACAATCATGCAAAAACGAACCACTTCTAAAACCTAGTATTGATGGGTGAGATTAAAACACACACTTAATTTTCCCACTGATAATCCCACTTGAATTTTTTTATTTCAGTAGGAGAGATTTAATCATGTGCTGAAATTGACCACTGTTTACCGTACATGGCCTTGGCTGAATCTTGCCCTAAATTATTAATTTCCTAGGGAAAATTAAACTTAACTGTGTGGTTTGGTTATAGAGTTCTATTAATATAGTCTGTTCATTTTAAATTACTGAAACAAAAAAGAACCGCAACTGACATTCAACGTGATCTTGCGTCAGGGAGAAATCACAGTTTCTTGTGGACTGGTACAGACATGTAATGCCACACCATGATTGCCATATCTAGAATCTTTTGTTAAAAGTTTATTTCCAGAGGTATACACAAGCCCTCTTGTGGTAGCAGTGTTGTCACTGAGGCTGTTCCCTTCCTCATTATCCCCCACACCCCAAGCTTGGGCCTGCCCAGAGCAGTGCCGTTTTGTCCTCTCAATGACCAGCCTCACAGAGACAAAGATGGATGTGAGTAAAAGAAGGTGCCGTTTATGGAGCAATGACATTTTTGCAGCAGACTGTTGTCTGTGTGGGTGAGGTGGGGAGTACTTTTCATATCTGGTGGAATGTGAATGCGTTCTTCTCCTTGGATATCATCATGTAAGAACCAGGCATTGCCTACCAGACTGAATTTTGCTCACACTGGCCTATCGTACGTTCCTCCCTCCCTAGCAAAACTTGATGCAAGCCACTGTTCTGGAGCACAGATTGAAAATTTCTGCTTTCCATGCCAACTTGTCTGTTACAGAATCTATATACTAAAATCTGTGGATCAGGGCCACGTGCAGCTAAAGAGATTTTTCTGCACACCTGGGGCACTCCCCAGATGTACAGAAAAATCTAGAAATTAAAAACAACAACAACAAGAATGGAGGGGTTTAAATTCCCTGATAATTAAAGTAGCACTTACCATGGCAGTCAGCAGCAGGACAGGAGAGTTGCGCTGTGTTCAGCAGTGGTGCAGCTCTGCTGCCCCACCAGCAGATGCTCAGATGCAGCCTCTGCAGCAGAGGATGCTTGGCTGCTGCTCCAGCCCAGCCGCAGTGGGCCCAATAGTGGTGGCAGACGATGCCAGCTGCTTTTCTGGACCCAGCCACGGAGCATTCCGACTGCTGCTCTGGGCCTGGATGCAGCAGCGGAGCATGCTGACTGCTGCTCCAGGCCCAAATGCAATCTGAAAGGAAGGGGAGGGAGGAAGCCTCAGTGAGGCTGCCCTGAGCAGCTTTGGATGAGCCACCGAGGTGGGGGGGGAGAAAGGAAGCCTCGGTGAGGCTGCCCGGAGCAGCTCCGGATGAGCCGCCGAGGTGGGGGGGGGAGGAAGGAAGCCTCGGTGAGGCTACCCGGAGTAGCTCAGGATGAGCCACCGAGGTGGTGGGGGGAAGAAGGAAGCCTCGGTGAGGCTGCCCGGAGCAGCTCTGGATGAGCCGCTGAGGTGGGGAGGGGAGGAAGGAAGCCTCGGTGAGGCTGCCCGGAGCAGCTCTGGATGAGCCGCCGAGGTGGTGGGGGGAAAGAAGGAAGCCTCAGTGAGGCTGCCTGGAGAAGACAAACCATTAAGAACAGGCGGGCAAGGCAGTGGATCTGGTGGCTGTAGGGGAGCCTGGGAAGAAAGGGGGGGGGAGATGAGATTTCCCCGCTGTGAGTATCGCGGGCCCCCACTTGTCCTTGTATATCACACAACATGCTTGTGTGCTAGGCTGCCCAGTCAGTTCAGGTGCTGTAGCCTTTGGGGCCTGTATGAACTTTGGGCTAAAATATATGTAATGTGGGAGATTCATGATTTAATCTCCCAGTATCTATCTTTATACAACCTAAAAGCTGCTGAGAAGAGTCCCAAACCGAAGGAAGCTGGTGTATGTGTGGTGAATCCGTCCTTTCCGCATTTCTTTCCCCTAATGTCCTGCAGCGTTTTCTCTCACATCTTCCCTCCCCAGCCTCTATTAGACATGCAGAGGGAGGATACTTACACTGTGCCCTCCCAGCCAAGACTATTCACAGTTACAGAAGAAAGATTTTGGTTGGAATAGACATTTAAACACTCCCTGCCCAACACCACTGTCCCCAGCCGGTATGAGATTCTGCATGGCTTCTTTTGAGCTTTAAAAGAAGACATTGGGAGGACGTCTGGTACATCCATCACAGAACATCCCTAACGTATCCGTGTCGATTATATATTGCAGAGGAAGCTCCATAGCAGTGGGCAAGCTGACTTTCAGGGCTGCTTACATGCCACTTCTGATCTTCTCATTGAACAACCCTTGGTAAGCTACCGGGGAGCTCCAGGATTTCCTGGAATGTTTGGAAAACTTTGGTTTTATGCAGTCACAGTTTGAATATGTATCTAAAACAACCACAGCAGTGTGGTACAGTCACAGTTTGAATATGTATCTAAAACTGATCTAAGTGCAGGCCACAGCAGTGTGGCATGTATTGATATAATAAGAAGCCAGCTTGCCTTGCCTTTCTTCCACATCTGGGAAAGAAGTTGTGGGGGGATTTTGATTGGAAAAACAGCCATCTACAGATTAACAGCTTTCTCCCTCTGCAACTACATTTCATTTTTTAAAAAAATTTATTTATTGGGAAACTGATCACACAGCTCCTGATGCCTAGGCTAGTTTGACCCTTTAGAAAGGAAGAAGCTGCCCCAAATACAGTTATCACAGTTCAGTCAGGGGAAAAATATCATCCTCCTTAGGATCATTGAAAGTTCAAAGTGTGGTGTGCCACTTCTACTACTCATACACGCTTCTTCAGCCTGGATTCTAACTAAAGCAAGTTGAGCGTGAAACAGTTGTCTCTGGTAGAGGACATGGCATTCAGGCCTGTTTGTAGGGCCCCACCACCACCTACCTGACCTTGAGATGGTCATGGAGCCTTCTTCAGACTAATTAGCTCAGAACTTGGGTTACACAGAGAAGCCCAACTGGCACTGTGGCTCTGAAAATACCAAAGCGTAGCAGTTACATGATTCTACCTCTGCCACTAATCCAAATCTCATAGGTTGCTCTCCTAAGGCAAAGAACAGAAGAAAAAATCATTTTTATGTTGTTAGAACTGGAGGCTAATTTTAGAAAATGCAATAGAGTTCACTTAAAAATCCAGTTGGATAATGTTACCTGCTGATTGGAGGCTTGATAGTGTTCTCTCTTGGAGCTCTATCTCTGTAGGTGCCAAAAGGACTGGATGTCATGTCATGTCCTTGGCAGCCTTCTTCCTTCCTCCCGTTCTAAACAGCTGCCAAGTTGCCAAAGTAGGGTGTTTTTTTTTAAAGTTGGATTACAAATGTGACATTTTTCTATGTTACAAGTGTATGTCTAAATTCTGTGATTTTTTTTTAAAAAAATGGTGTTAAGGTAGCTGTTGTAGAATCAAATATGGCGATTGTGGATTCAAGAGAATGAAGCTGTGTATCTGTTTTGTGTTTAAGCATGCTTGTTGTTTGATTTGATAAAAATGAACTGGTATAATAAGCCTGTTCTGTTATGTTAAATAATGTAGAACTGGAATCTGTTTTCCCTTGGGTTTCCCATTTAGATGCTTCATTACTGCATTGTCCCACATTCTGATTTACTGCATTGTCCCACTTTCTGCTTCACATTTTGGAGTCTAGTCAATTAAGTAATATGACAGAGAGAGAAATTAATGGGTCCATTTAAAAGATGAGATCCCAATCTGAAATTACATACATGGAAGTAAATTGATTTTGATGAGATGTGCTTATTTCCATCTAATTGGTATAAGTTGGAAGTAAAGGAAACTGTAATAGAAACATACAAGCTGAAGTAGTAGCTCAGTAACTATGGGTTAGTTATTACTAAATTTTTAAAAACCTAGTATTATGTATCTTCTGCATCATGCTGGCTAATACAGATGTACTTCCTGACAGAAGCAGACTTTTCTATTGTGGATCAAGGTCTGCTTCTCCCTCTCTAGCTCCAGCTCCAGTAAAGATTCTTATTCTGTCTCCCATACTTCAGGCAGGCATTTGAGCGATTCTCCTTTTAAAAAAATGAAACATTGTTCTGAACAGATGGAGGGGCGTGGCTTTTTGATTGTCATAAGAACCAGGCAATCAGCAGTCTGCCTGTCAGCCAGACAGCTAACTCGTGCGGGTAACAGGAAGAACTGGTTACCTCTGAGCTCAGTTAAGTTTGGAAGACTATGTCTGCCTCATGAAGATGGAATGTTGATCAGTTGCTCAAGCAGTTTCTATCTGTATGCAACCTAAGTGTCCAGTAGATCCAGAAACTCTCAGATTGTGTTAGAAAAATGCTGCTCAAGTACTGTTAACTGTTTCCACAGGGAACCTGTATGCCAGCATCCGGTGAAGAAGGCCTTGGGTCAGTAAAGGACGTCTTGAAGGAACTTGAGCTTTCTGAATATTATTCTGTGTTTGAGAGGGAACATGTGGATAGAGAAGCACTGGTAAATTGACATGACAACATGGAAGCTGCTTCTTGGAGATATATTTGGTGGTGTAGGAATAAGGGGGAACCAAATCTTTGCCTATTGAAATATGTGCTTGAATTCTCTTGGCATATGCAAAAGAGAAACTGAATGTGAAGTTGTGGGTGTTCTTCTCTCCTTGTAGCAGCAGTAGTGCCCTATTTCTTGTGTGTTACAGGTGTGACAGTGTTCCATTGCTGCCTGGGCTTTACTGGTTGTGGTGGAATAATTTCTGCGTAAGAGTCCCATGAGCCTGGGTTTGCAAATATTTCTGTTTTGTAAAAGCTCAGTGGCATGAGCAATCAGCCAGCTTGTATCCTTGTCAAACGACAGCAGCAGAGTAGAAGCTGGAGTGTCCCTTATTCCTTTGAATTGCTGTTTATAACAAAACTGGAGCTTACATACGAGGTTCTTATTGTGCAGGCTTTGTGTACAGAAAAAGAACTTAAAGAGATGGGAATTCCTTTGGGACCTAGAATGAAAATCCTACACTACTTAAGGAACAAACGCAGCAACCAGGTATGCTTTTTCTGATAATTGAATTACTTTCAATTCTGCTTTCAGGACCAGAATAATGTATGCATACTTTGAGTCTCTTTTTACCAAACCTGCAGTGGGTTGGACAAGCAGTGCCGTCAGCATGTTCTGATGCAGTGTCTGGTACACTGTTGGAATGCTGAATGTTGGTAATTGTGCTGCTCTGGCATCTTTGCAACTGCGTAAGAGTCCCATGAGCCTGGGTTTACAAATATTTCTGTGTTTTGTAAAAGCTCAGTGGCATAAGCAATCAGCCACCTTGTATCCTTGTCAAACGACAGCAGCAAAGTAGAAGCTGGAGTGTCCCTTATTCCTTTGAATTGCTGTTTATAACAAAACTGGAGCTTACATACGAGGTTCTTATTGTGCAGGCTTTGTGTACAGAAAAAGAACTTAAAGAGATGGGAATTCCTTTGGGACCTAGAATGAAAATCCTACACTACTTAAGGAACAAACGCAGCAACCAGGTATGCTTTTTCTGATAATTGAATTACTTTCAATTCTGCTTTCAGGACCAGAATAATGTATGCATACTTTGAGTCTCTTTTTACCAAACCTGCAGTGGGTTGGACAAGCAGTGCCGTCAGCATGTTCTGATGCAGTGTCTGGTACACTGTTGGAATGCTGAATGTTGGTAATTGTGCTGCTCTGGCATCTTTGCAAGGTGAAATTCCCACCTCTCCAGCAGCCTTATAGGGCAGGCAGCTGTAGAAGCGTAGTGTTGGCAGAAATGGCTACAGAAGAGAGCTGTCTGACTTTGTTGCAGGATTCCAAAAGAGAAAGACCTGCAATGGCTTGGGAAGATGGAGATGCCAAGCAGGAGGCACCCGCAAATCCCACAAATGTGAAGTCAAATTGCCAGTGTCTGGATGTTGTGACAGGACAGGTAATCCTAACCCTTCCCCAGCCACCAAGGGGCTTTTTAGAGTCACTTTATTATGTCAGCCTTGCATTAACAGCATCATAGATAGAAAGACGGCCTGTTGAGCTTTACTGTTGAACTGTCCAGAAAAGTCTTACTGGGCCAGATCACTCATCAATTTACCAAGTCAGTAGTGTCTGCCAATGGCCAGTTCATAATGCTTTGGGCAAGATATTGAAGGACACAATGCTAGATAATTTAATTTCCAGTTGCTAGCCTCCAGCAGCTGAATGCTAAAACACCTTAAAGAGTGTGTGCTCTCTGGCCAGATCTGTCTGTCTCAGATTGCCCTTGTCCAATTCCAGGGCTGTAGGGGAAAGGGTACTACTAATAAAGTTTTTGCCCTCTCATAGAACAATGCAGGTTCTAAATCTTCATGCTTCAGTATCTTGGTTTGATCATAACCAATGTTCCCTCTAAGGTGTGGAGTCTTGTGAGCAAAAATTCTACTTTGTAAGCTACTGGCATTAAAGTTGTGAGTGAGTGATCTGGCTACTGCATAAATTAACTTGCTCTAGAGCCATCCTTCCTGAGCTAAGACAAAAGTGTGTGAGCCAGAGGCTAAAAAACTGTGAGCTAGCTCACACCAACTCAGCTTAGAGGGAACACTGATCATAACTAAGACTTTTTGTTATGCAAGTATTCAGGCAAGTGTCTCAGATAGCACATAACCTGTACAGCTGCCTGAAGATTTCTGAAGTTTAACTAGGCTTGAGTTTTGCCACTATCAGGAAGATTGGAACCTGTTTTAAGATCTTGGAGACAGGGTGCAATGCAGATATTTTGTTGCTAATTTAAAACCAATCAGCAGTCTGATTCTGTACAGGTTTGGGTAAATCTTGTTTTTAAACCTCATTAAATTGTGATCTCTCACAACATTCCACAGCACTGCATTCCACAAGTAAGCTATATATCATACGTGGGTCCTGGGATGAATTCCCTTCTTTCACATCTTTCATGTTTTAATGTCAGTGAATACATAGTTGAGTGCAAAAAAAGGGTAGTAGTCGGATCAAGTAAATGGAGCAGCTCTCCTGTGAGGGATAGCTAATGCATTTGTTCTTTTTGCAAAATGATGACTAAGAGGAAGTGAGGGGAAACATGATTAAGATATATCAAGGTGTGCACTGTCTGGAGAAAGAAATTGGGCGGACCTTCTTTTTTTCTTCTCCCATATTAGAACTTGAGGGTAACCAAACTTAAACAGTAAATCCAGACACAAGTATTCATTCTCTTAAAGCATAATTGGGGGTTGGGTGGTGAGTTTTTTGCCTTGAGTGGCTTGCTAATGGTCTTCCCAGAGGTAGCTCTTTGGCCACTCAGGGTGCTGGATTAGATGGATCTTTTTACCCTGATTTGGCTGGGGATGGTCTTGTGGCGTTATGCACAAATTGCTCTTTCTCTACCAATTGGGCTGTTGCATTTAAACTCTTCCAGGTTTCTGCCAATTACCCTCAACTGATCTATAAGCCGCAGATCTTCTTTGCCTTTGGGTCTCCTATTGGGATGTTTCTCACTGTACGAGGAATAAAAAGGATTGATCCAGCATACAGCTTGCCTACCTGCAAAGGTTTCTTCCATATCTTTCATCCCGTATGTATGAGCAGCAACACTGTGGTTCTCTCCCCCCAGGTCAAAGTGGCACTTAAGCATGAGGTGCATAAAGAAAAACTTACTAAATGAAGCCCTTGCCTTCCCCTTCTCCTTCCCCTCCTGGGTTTTAACTGCTGCAGGGTCCTTTTGCTCCTCGCCCCCAAGTTAATTAAAATGTGGCACTTAAGCATGAGGTGCATAAAGAAAAACTTACTAAATGAAGAGAATTCAGAGCTACTCAATGGTCCCCAGCCCTTGCCTTCCCCTTCTCCTTCCCCTCCTGGGTTTTAACTGCTGCAGGGTCCTTTTGCTCCTCGCCCCCAAGTTAATTAAAAATTAAATTACCTGTGTAGGTAGTGTAAAGCATGAACATCAAATGAATTGGGCTTAGCTTTAATAATTTCTATTTTCATAAATGCACTTTCCAATGCACAGTTTGGGATTCACAGTCACAGAATTCAGGTTAGAGAAAATAGCTTTCTTGTTTCTGTGTTCCACTTGAGATTTCATCTTGTTGCCCAGTATTCAGTGCAGCTGGTTATAGCTGGATTTCAAGATCAGACTGTTTTCTGGGCTTATCTGCTCTATTGAGACACTGTAGAACATGACCTTTGTTAAAATAGGTTGGGGGGTTGGCTTGTGGTGGGAGGAATTTAGATTGTGGTTATAGCAGAGGGGTTTTTTAATTTCTAAAAAAATTAGTAATACAACAATTATAAAAAGTACAAAAAAGAGATACAGAAAACACATAAAATACATTGCCAAACAAAATCATGATCTGCCCTGTCATGTGAACATAGAAAATCCTACTCCAGCAATTGCCAATATTACTGTTAAATCTAGTTATACAGTTAGCAGCTCTATTTTTTTGTATTACACTTGACCATAAATTATCTAATCTTATGTACTCTGGCAAACTGTTAATTTCACCAAAGTATACATTTCTTGTATTCTCAACAATCCGTCTTGTAGATTAGGGGTAGTATTTTCTTTCTGATACCTGGCAAAAACCAGTCTGACAGCAGTAATCAGATGTAAAGCAGCTTTTTGCTGATCTCTGGGAACATCAGGAAGATAATTCAGCAATAAAGTCTCTGGTTTATGAGGAATTTGTATACCTAACCCAATTGATAATAATTTCATCACTTGCTTCCAAAAGTTGGAAGCACGTATACATGACCACCACATGTGAAAAAAATCTGTATAGCAGAGGGTTTTTAACCCTTTCAAGAACCCAATGTTGGTTGATAGTGTGGAATATAAATGCTCCCCCCCGTGCTTTTCCCCTCTAACTCACCCCCCCTTCTCCTGAAGTGAAACTTGTTCTACTCAGGGAGACCTAACAGGCATCATGTGTTCTCCCTTTCCTCCCTGAGAAAGAACAGATTGAAAATAGGAAAACGATGTGGAGGGCAAAGTGTTAACATTTACTCCTCCACAGACTGCAGCCTATTTCCACAACTGGGGCGGGGGGGGGGAACGGGACACAGACAGCAATTGTTTACCCCTGGCAAATGGCAAATTGTTCAAAGCCTTTCTAAGAGAGGAGCTGGGGAGGCAGACTGTTTCCCTGATATAAGCAAATACATACCGTATAATGTGTTATGCTCTTTCTTCTGTAGTTTGACCCAGTGGCATACAGGATTGAGCCCTTGATTGTCCCTGACATGGAATTCGAACCTATGTTGCTTCCTCATCATAAAGGGAGGAAGAGGATGCACTTAGGTAATGTTGAGACTGTTCCTTTTGCAGACATTGTCCTTTTGAATGTGTGCTCCAAGACACTTTTTGCATTTTCAGGTGGTGCTTGAACACATTAATATAAATGTATCCTGCCCCTTTTGGACAGGTGTTAGTGTTTACTCAAATATTAATCCTAGGTGTTTCAACTTTCATTTGAAAAAAAAAGCCAGCCTTTCAGGGTTTTGGAATGCAGAAAGCTCTGAGCTACCTGTTAATATGCAGGGACTAGCGTTAGCTCCCAAAGAGAGCCTCTAAACAGTCTGTCAGGCTGTTGGTACAAGTTCCCAACCAAACCATGACAGGCTGAAGACAGATGTATCTTCTTCCAGGAGGACATGCAGGATTTTCAACTGTGGGAAAGTTCTGCTTCTCCTTTCCCACTTCCCTCTATTACCATATATACATGGTTCCAACTCCAGTATGAATTTTCATCTCTTCTCCCCTGACCCCTTCTTCAATGAAGCTTTTATGAATTCTCTCCCCATCCTGGGTAATTGGACCATTTGTCCTTTTACACATTTGAGGACTGTTTTTTAAAAATAACTTGTAAGAAATTGATTCATGGAGGAGGGCCCATAGGAAATGACTGTCAGTGCAGTCCTAAGAATACTTCCCTTGGAATAAGTCCCACTGAGCAGACTTTAGTAGAATTCCGAGAACACCTGCTTAGGACTGCAGCATTCATGAGTGCTAGAAGACCCAGCCAGTCAGCAAACTGCACCGCCAGCTTCTCTTGGAAACAAGAAGTCATCATAGGCCTGATTCACTTTGCAAGTTTGTACAAGTCCCCAAAAGTAGTGAGTGCAGATCAACAGTAGTGGGTGCTCATTCTGGCAGCATGGGCTCTGCCTTGAGGAATGTACCTCTATCTAAGTGGTGGGTGGAAAGTAACTCCCTTAATGAGAGAGATTGAGGAGTGGCAAGTATCCAGTTTCCATGAGACCCTTTGCGTCCCTGAGAGGATTCCTCAGATGAACATAAGAGCCCCGCTGGATCAGACCAATAGTCCATCTAGTACAGCATTCTGTCTCATACAACAGCCAGCCAGTTCCTCTGGACAGCCAACAGCAGGGCATGGAGGCCAAGACCTTCCTCTGATGTTGCCTCGTGGCCCTAGGATTCAGAGGATTAGTGCCTCTGAGTGTCACCATGGCTAATAGCCACTGATAGATTCAGGTGGGTGGCTGTGTTGGTCTGAAGCAATAGAACAAAGTTTGAGTCCAGTGGCACCTTTAAGACCAACAAAGTTTAATTCTGGGTATAAACTTTCATGTGCATGTACGAAATATATCTGGCCCCACTGCTGGACCTTCTGATTGGCCTGATCCAACATTGGCTTCTCTTATGTTCGTATGTTCTTATGAAGTGTGCATGCACACAAAAGCTATACCCAGAGCCACTGATAGACTTATCCTACATGAATCTATCTGGTCCCCTTGTAAAGCTATTTTAAACAGATGAATGCATTTCCTTAAAATGTTATCTGCTGTTTCTTAGCCTTGCCTCTGAAGAAGCCATGTGAAAGATGCATCCTGAAAGGACCCCCCCCCCTCCAAGTTGCACTTAACACACCTTCAGGCAGTAATTTCAGTAGCTTTGGATTAGATGTAAAACTTTATCTTGGACCTGGTCCAGGGAAGCGAGAATCAGAGCTGGTCTAGGAGAAGCAAGGGCGTGTGTGTAGATGATAATGTGACTATGTGAGAAACAGGAATAGGATTGAGAGGGCCAAAGAAACTTTATCTTGGACCTGGTCCAGGGAAACGAGAATCGGAGCTGGTCTAGGAGAAGCGAGGGCGTGTGTGTAGATGATAATGTGAGAAACAGGAATAGGATTGCGAGGGCCAATGAAGGGGATCTGGAAGATGTCAAAATTGGCTTGAAGCTTATTTATTTATTTATTTATTATTCAAATTTATATCCCACCCTCCCCAATGGGCTCAGGGCGGCTAACAGTAAGGGCACAAAGCCATGATAAAACAGTTAAAAGCAGGATAAAACAATACAAAATTACAATAAAGTGCTGGTGCTCTGAAAGTTCATAGTTCCAAGATGGGTTCTGGAAGATGGACCCAGAACAACAAAGCAGGTTCCAGGACGATGCTGCCTTCCGATCTTCGATCCAGGGCCATCATGCACCCCGATGGCATACCCGCTCTTTGTGGTAGCGGTACAGTGGTGGTACAGCGGTGGTGGCGGCTCCTACTCGAAAGCCTGGCGGAAGAGCTCCGTCTTGCAGGTCCTGCGGAACTGCACAAGGTTCTGCTGGGCCCGGATCTCCTCCAGGAGCTCATTCCACCAGGTAGGAGCTGCCACCGAAAAGGCCCTGGCCCCAGTCATAGCGAGTTTGATGTCCCTGGGGCCTGGGATAACCAATGTTGGGCCCCCAACCGTAATGCCCTTGGGAGAATATATGGGGAAAGGCAGAAAAGCTGAAGTGAGAAGGGTGTGCTGGTCAACAGAAGGGAATGTATGTCCTACAGAATGTGTGAACCGCAGGCTTTCTAGATTGCATCCATGCGACATTCAGTTTGCAAGACCATTTCTATTTCCTCTTCTTAATAGAGCTGAAGGAGGGCCTCACACGGATGAGCACCGACATAAAAAACAACTTGCTGGGCTCCTTGAGGGTAGCCTGGCAGTCATTCACTAGGGTCTCGTTGCCAGCTGTGGAGGCAGGGGCCACCGGAGATGCCGAACAAGAATCAGAAACTGAAACCAGTTCAGAGAAGCAAACCGGTTAGTGAAGGGGAAAGAGGGAGGTTATGCCTTGCAAGCAAAATAGCGTGGTGTTCGATAACATCCCAGCAAAGTCCTCTTTCCTTCCTTCCTGTTTAAGACAAACTTAGTGTGGTGCCTGCTGCTCAGTAGTAGCCCTTGCCCCAAAAAATCAGTGGAGCGTGTTGATGCAAACAAATTTAATTTGGTGATGTCTGATTTACATAATGTTGAGAATTGCAGTTAGGCTTTTTTGGTTCCAGATATGGGCTACTTTTGCTGTCTCTAAAAAATGTTCCTTGAGGATTTGTGTTCTTTCCTCTCTAGGCCTCATCCATCAAGTAAGTGGCATGTAGCTTTTCAGCTAAAATTGCAAATTAGTTGGTCTCAGTGGGTGCAGAATCCTTGCAGTGCCTGATACTATTGGGTAGTCAGACCTTGGCCTACACAAGCTTGGAGACCATGTCATCTTAGCTGTGTCTGTTTACTTCATTCAGATGAGAAACCCGAAGAGCCAGCTACACCAGCGAAAGAAGAACCCACATCAATTAATGTGGGCATGCTTAATGGGGGCCACCGCATTGACTATGTGCTTCAAGAGAAACCAATTGAAAGCTTTAATGAATATTTGTTTGCACTGCAAGGCCATCTCTGCTATTGGTATGTAATGGCTTTTAAATTGCTTCAGGAAATCTTCATGGGTAGCCTTCTGTTGAACTTCAAATAGTTTTTAAAATTGGGATAAAGCCAATGGTAATGAAATTTAGTAAATATTGCTGCTGAAAAGTTCGAGTCAGAAAACGAGGCACTTCACTAATAGGTTTTCTCCAGTAACTTGTTTTTACAGCCACCGTTTCAAGTGGGTGTCTGCTTTTCTTGGCTGCACCCAGCCCCTTGGAAGAGAAATTGAGGCTGAGAGGCACCACTGAGCAAGTACATGTCTGGACTCAGGTGGTCTCTGGGTTTCTAAGGCACATCCAATAATCTTTGTAGTGGACCATCTTTGAATCTTCAACAAGTCCCGTCCCCCCCAGTGGAAAATAGCTTTCTTAAGTATAAAAATGCTGACAGTTTTAATACTTAAAAATTTAATTAATAGGAATCTGCAGTGGGGGCTATGGGTAAAATCCAAGGTGGGGGAAAAGGTTGAGTTTGGGAGAAGAGGCAGGTATACCCACTTTCCTTGCCACTGTTCTTGCCTCTGAAATCCCCGGTGATGGGTGCGGCAATATTAGCTCCTGCAACTTGTCTCCTCCTCTTCCCCACCTACCCTAAGGAGTAGCTGTAGGGTCACACACGAATACTCAGGAAGCTGCCTTATACTGAAGTAGACCATTGGTCCATCAAAGTCAGTATTGTCTACTCACACTGGCAGCAGCTCTCCAGAGTCTCAGGTTGAGGTCTTTCACACCACCTATGACCTGATTCTTAGTGAAGATGCTGGGGACGGAATCTGGGACCGTCTGCTGCATGCCAAGCAGATGCTGTACCACCGAGCCACAACCGCTCCCCAGACAATGGTGTGGTTGTCTCCTACTTCTCAGCCAAGCACAGAGCCTTTTGCTAGAGTTTCCTTGAGCGGAGGAGAGCACTGCACATAGCTGAGTGGCATGGTAGGAGCACCCCATGGATTCACCTTACTCTGTGCTTAAGACTAATTGGTTTGTCATATCTGACTCACATAGGCTTGCGACATGCTCTCACATGAGACAAGCACTCGTGTTATTCGGTTTAATTCCCTATTCCTAACCTCCAGGGTGTCTGAGGACACAGCGCTATTGCTGCTGAGAGAGATTTACCAGACACAGGGCATCAGCCTGGACCAGCCTCTCCTGTAAAGCCAGACTGACCTGCTGCATCAGTCTTCTTACCAAATGTAAGTTGTCTTATTTCTCAGACTAAATTGCCTGCTCTCCTCCACTGCTTCTGCTGTGGGTCTTAGATCAGCCAGTTCAATGCCAGAAGCTTCTGAAGTTTCAGGAAACAGAACCGGCCATGCACATTGCAGCAGGCTCACAAAATTTTTCAGCTGTTGATTCTCTACCTTAAGGCCACTCCATATATCTTAATAGATCTAGGTGTGGGTATTGTGTGAATTTTTGTCTAGCTGTGGTCAGCCACTTGGGCCTCCTTTGAACAGTGGTAAGGAATTTGCCACTAAACTGGAACATGCTGGGGGGGGGGGCCTTTTGGCCTTGATGTGGGAAAGAATTAAATGGCCCCCAGGGACCTAAACACATTACAGCAAGGTAATAAGTAACATTGGCATCAACCAACTTCCTTTCGCGTATCAGTATATTATGCTGATTTGCTTCTTTGGAAGTAGCCTCAGTGAATCAGACTGTAGTTGTTCTGATGGCACAGGGGAGGAAAAGGTACCATTTTCCAGAGAGACTTCCTGTTCTCCTTGTTGTATCCTGCTGTGCCTAATGGGAGGGCGGGCAACTTGCCTTAAATTAATATGCAGTATTTATGTAAGTGCTATCAATGTATTGTTTGTTGAGCTGTAGGTCATTACAACAGATTTGTTTGGTTTTTTGAGCCTGTTGTTGAATCTTCCTAGAGTTCAAGAAATCTCATATACAGTTGTTGGATATACTCAGTGTCCTTCCCTGATTGTGGTGACCAGTCCCTCACTACCTGCAGTATTCAGAGAGCAGCGATAACATAATTCCCATTCCTTCTTAATCAGTTTATCATTAGTAAAGCTGCCTTAACATGGCTGATCTTTCCTGTTTCCTTAGATGTACTCCCAAGTGGAAGCTTGTCAAGATTTCCTGTCCGCCACCGTCTTTCATCTGTTGCTGATGCACCCAGCATGCTTTATCCCCACTGCCTGGAGCTCTGGAGGATTCCCTGTCCCAGTAACAGTGGAAGTGTGGCAAGCATTTTTGGTCTCACTTGCCTGACATACACGGTCCTTGTTGTTCACTGACTCTCTGGGCTGTGCCCTCTGGCCTAGAGGCAGGTGTGTGTTAAGTTGCAATACCAGCTATGTCGAGTCTAGAACTGCACTAGATGTGGCTAGAAATCGGTGCTAGAACCTCACCTCACCACTTTGGTTGGAAACCCCTGGGATTGACAGAGCAGCATTGGTTAGTGTGATGTCAGATTTGAGGGAATAACTTCTCTTTGTGTGTCTGTGTGGGGGCATATTTATAAACCTTTGTTCTGTAGCAGCACTTGGATATACAAGCATTATGATTTTGATTTCCTGTGGTGGATTGTATTTTGTTCCGTACCCTTCATTGCTGCTGCTTTGCCCAACAGGTGGAGCTACAGACCAAAGCAAGAGGTTCTCCAAATTCTTGTCTTACTCCAGGTGTTCCTTACAGCGTCTTTGCTGCAGGGGGGGGAATGCACGAGACACTTCCCTAAGGAGAAACTGTTGTGTGGAGAGCTGCAAACCTCCTCCTTTTTTGTACACTCCCAAGATGTGAACAGTTGACTCCTCCTATTATGGCACTGTGAGCCTGCTGCCTGTGTGCATATTCATTATGCGCCATATAGCTTCAGCACACCAGGATAAGCATGAGCTCCACTGTGGTCTTCCCCAACTCTCCTGAGAGCGGTTATTAGTGCAGGGTGTTGTGCAAGCAGCTGTCCCAGGAGGCAGGGAGTCCTGAGTTGTTGGGAGGCTCCTGGGGTTAGCCGTGCACAGACACATTTCATTCAGCTACAGCAAGAAGAGCACCTCTTGCTCCAAGAGTGCTGCAAAGAGAATCCAGTGTTGGCAGAGAACCTGTGGTGCGAAGCATTGCAGTGATCAGTGAGTGAAAAGTTTGGACCAAAGGGAAGAGCAGGGCCACTTACGGCATGTAGGCATCCTGCTTTATGCAGTACGTTACCAAATGTAATTCCTGGTGTGTGATGGGGCCCTAGTGAGCAGCAAGGAACAAGAAGCCCAGCCCGTGCCTGCTTCCACGGAGGAGGTCAGTTTCCTCTTGGAAGCACAGTCAGTTGACCAGTAAGAGACAGTTCACATAACCAGGGCGATATTTCAGAAGGCAGACTAAATGGCTCCTCTTGGCTGTAGTGGGAAGCGCAGCCCACACATGCTGCTGAAATAGGACTGGGCTTTCATTGTGGATGTCAGTGAGGTATATGGGGTACTGTACTGTGACCGCACAGCTCCTTCATATGCGCGCACTGCTGCAGGCTGTGGACTAGGTATTTAACCGGGGCCTGCACTATGATTGCACAGCTACTTCATGCACACTGGACCTAAATCTTGGCAGAATTGGTTGGTAACAAGAAGTGTTACCAGGCATTTATTTACATTTCAGGAAATCTCTTCAACAAGAGCAGTAGACAGCAATGTGTTCCTGGGTGAGGTTTTTTGGGTGGTGGTGGTGGATCATGCTGTATATTCTTGTGTACTCTGTATCAAAACATCCTCTCCCATGGGCTATTCTCCCAACGTGTTTTGCACTAAATGCCCTTGCTTCACTCACCACCTCATCCACTAGTGCTTCAGCTGTGACTGAGCAACAAAACCATTTGGTGGGGCAGGGGTGGATACAGGAAAGAATCCAGCCTTGGCCAGTCAGGTCACAACAGCTGTTGAAATGTATGCACTTTGTGAAATATGTCTATTTAAAAAGTTATTTAATCTTTTTCAGTAAACATATGGCTTTGGCGTATTTCTTGTCTTCTGCAAGGAGAATGCTAAAGTGTATTAACAGTGCAAGGATTGCGTCCCCCCCTCCCCCATACATACATGCTAGAGGAAGCAGAGAGATTGAAGAAAAGCAGGCGGGGATGCTTCAAGCACAGCGTGGAAGAGTTTATAGTTGACTGCCAAGTCAAGATAAAACAGAACCCAATGGCCAAGGATCTAGCTTTCCTGCAGTCAGCTGTATACATTGTCTGGCAGAAATATATCCAACAATTCTGAAGTTACATCCAGACACACATGATCTCTTCCCTCCGTCGCTTAGTGTAAGGGATGAGACATGGCTGTAGCTGAAACTACTACCACTACTCCATACTGCCATTTTGTGTTTTTTAAAGTCCCTGAATGCGTTGCTACTTTAAAACACAAATACCCACTTCCTTTTGGAACAGCTCCATGCAATAGTTCTGTTCACTGCATTACCCTATGCAGTTGTTGCAAGAAACAGTAATGTGTGAATGACAGATGATCTAACCATCCTTGTGTGTTGGAGCCTCTGCCCAAAGATATACATTCTTGTTCGCACTTCATGTTTGCTGCAGTCAGCACTTGATGTAATAGTGGTGTAACCACACCAACCATAATTACCATAGATAGTGTGAAACAGCTTTCAAGGTGGTTCTGCTGAGGCAGCCCTGCTGAGCTATGTTTACATTACAGAGCACAGCCCTGCTGAGCTATGTTTACATTACATTACATTAATGGGACACAGATACCTGCCAGCAAAAGGCCTTGCTGTCAAGCTAGGTCAGTGTTGCACTGATTAAAAGTCACCTGCAGACCCTATGGCAGTCACTAGAACATCATTGAATACGCTCCAGGTGTGGTGACCTTGAGGCCAAAGAAAAGCAGGTTTGCTGTGAAACGTAGTCCAAAAGATAGGTGGGGGGGAACAACCCTGAAAACAAATCAGCAACCAAAAAAGGGTTAATTATTAAACCTCAAAATACATTTAATTATCCATAAATTAGTAAAGCTTTCCCTTGCTTGAAAGCCAGTTGAATCCGACTCTAGGGGGCGGTGCTCATCTCTGTTCCCAAACCGAAGAGCCAGCACTGTTCAAAGACTTTTTCCGTGGTCATGTGGCCGGTGTGACTAAATGCTGAGGTGCACGGAATGCTGTTACCTTCCCACCAAAGCGGTACCTATTTATCTACTTGCTTTCGAACTGCTAGGTTGGCAGGAGCTGGGGCCAGAGACTGGAGCTTACTCCATCACACAGCACTAGGATCTCGGACTGCTGGACCTGCTGACCTTCTGGTCTGCAACTAGGCATCTTAACCTCTGAGCCACCACAGCTCCCATCCATACATTACACATACCATAAATATTGCTCTACTATACATATATAGCTAGTCATTTATGGATAATTACAACTCATTTTATTTTTATAAATTACGTGTATTTTAAAGTTTGCTTTAATTAAGACTTTTTGGTTATGTGCAGTGAAATGTATGGAGGGCAGATTTACCTTATTCTTCATGCTGTCACAGTAGTTCTTCCAGAAATCAAGCTGTATCTTAGAAAGCATACGAGCTTGGGTAAACACAGTGCAAGCAGCATCCTGCATTTTACAGCTGGTTCGATGTAAACTAAAAACAGTTCAATCTCATGTATATATCCCTGAGAAGTCAATGGGTTTTGCTCCTAAGTGGAGTTGAAGTACTATGGAAGGAAAGGTAATGTAACCTTATCTGTTGCTGCACTGAATCGGGAAGGCCTTCACCACCAAGCAGCAAAGTGGATTTCTTCTGAATGCACCCTCTAGAATCTTCCTGTCACTCATTAGTAATACTGAAGACAGATAACAAATAGTGGAGGGGGAATGGTAGGTCAGGCTGGGATCTGAAACACGGTAGCCTTGCGCCACCTAGACCTTACGTGTTTGGTGCAGGCCAATGTAATTTTTGTTAAAGGTTGATTCAAGGATCACAGCAGTGACTCGACTCTTGTTCTTGAAAGTACTGGCATTTATTTTATTGGACACTTTAAAAAACCAACAACCATGAGCCCCAAGTGATCTGATTTGGTCTCTAAAAACATATAAAATATTAAAAAGGCAAACTTGAACACTGTAATCTTTACATTACAAACTACAGTTCTTCCCTCTGCAGATGTTTAGGCGAGCCTCATTTTAACAGGAAGTACAAATGAGCAAGCTTCAAAGTGTTCTAACACTTGAGATGGTAACTACTGCCTGCAAAAGCATACCTTTGATTTCTACAGCAGGAAGAGTAGAGGAAACAACCAGCGATAACGGCCATCCTCTTGGTCAGCTTTGGGTGTCGCAGGGCTGTCTGGAGTGCCACTGTTTGAACCACATGGTAACTGACCAACTTTGTAAAGGCAAATAAGTTTTTCTTTCCTGCTTTTGTGCAATGTCATGCTACCGTGCATGCTGTTCCTGTGGAAAAAATGCTCTCCCCCCCTACTATGTGGCTACTAATAGAAGCAAGTCAGGAGGAGAGCCAGATGTTGTGTTTCTGTATAGCAAAAAATGGCTAGCATTGATAATGCGGTTTGTGTTCATTCACATGCACTGTACTAAACTGCATGACATTTCTGGGTATTATCACTTAGGCCACATTCACAAGCCATATAGAGCCAATATCCCTACGCAATAAGTTTTTTGCATGAGTTGGGGTAGCTATCCTGACCGCACTTGCATTCCCCACAGCCAGACTGCCACAGGACCCAGTTTGTATTGGGACCACAGTATGGGAGAAAAGGGGCTTCAGCCTTCCCTCCATGCTGTTTTTCTGAGCCAGGGTAGGATTTTGGCTTTGTTGCAGGGCTGGGCATGCAGGATTTAGGTTCTGCTCCAGGATGAGAAAAAGACAAGTACCCCTACAGCTTAAAGCAGCTGAGGGAGGGGGAGAATTCAGAAAACCCCTCCCCCCTGGTGGTCCATTTTTTCCAACTACAACCCATATGGGAACCCTATCAGAGATCCCCTGCATCTTGTGATGCTCTGGCCCTAAAATTCTATCCCTGGCAATTTCTAAGGATTAGAATGATATTTTAAAGTACTTATGTCCTGTTTATCCCTAAAGGACTCGAGGAAATATAAACCTGCTGCCTGGGCTTGTTGCTTTAAAGGTAAATGTACCAGCCTGGACCTGATTCAATAGTCATGTCTCCTGTCCTGGTATGATTAGAGCTAGATTTGCTCTACACCAAAAAGATGCAAAAGCTACATTCAAAACAAATAGACCAGTTTGTATATACCAAGATTCAAGTCTTCAGACTATGGATACTTTCAGGGTACAGATTAGGGATTGAATAGAAAGAGGGAAGGGAGTTAAAATTGATATGCAGTGAGGGATAGGGAGTAGTTAGTCATGCAAAAAATACCTAGGAACACACTTAAACTCCATCTCCAGGCCACGGAAAGACTTGTGCACCCTCATTTCTCCACACTCAACAGCTGCTGCCTCCAAGCTCTACTTCACAAAGACTACAGTACCATCTTCCAAAACGGAAGTTAAAATGGTAAAGACCCCAACTTTGGCATCAGTTACCAAGATAAGCACAGGTGGTCTGGGCAATATGAAAAGAATAACCTGGTCATACAGCACAGAACCGTCTCCTGGAGGCAGTTAAGGGAATAGACTCCTGAAAGCCATACCTAAGTCCTACATGGCCTCTGTGTGTAAGAAAGAGTTGGGGAATATTTTTAAAAAGGCAGGTGCTAGCTGAGTAGGCAGAAAACAAAGGTAACCTGCCTTGCATGCTAAAGCCATGCTGCATACATGTTGTTACAATGCACGGTGAGCTAACATGCACCCAGGTTTGCGTGAGTTGACCACAGCAACTGCCCTGCAGAATATTTTCTGCTTTGTGGCAAGGGATTGGACTGGATTGTTGTTAGATCCCACTACTGCTCCAAAATTGTACACCACTTCTTGCAGCAGGCCTTCGATCCCACTACTGCTCCAAAATTGTACACTAAACACTTCTTGCAGCAGGCCTCAGAGTGGATTCAGGGCTGATCCTGTGCAGCAAGATGCCACTGCCAGGGATAAAAGGATGGCTCACCACCAGTGTAGTGCACACCAAATGCAATACTCTCTTCTCTGCCAACAGGCTCATGAGGAAGGGAAGAGGAGGAGCAGGCCCACACCTTCATTAAGGCTGCTGGCCCTTTAAAGTGAGGTAACATTTCCCCCTCCAGGCACAGGGTCCTGTGGAGGGCTGTGCCCCCTTTCTCCCCGAGAGTATCCTTTATACATCTAGGTTGAAGCCAGAGAGGGTTAACTTTTGCCTCTCGGGGGCAGAGAGTCTGGACTTGCGTTGCAGCGGTTGATGGCAGTCGGGGTCCGTCAGAGGAGGGTAATGCTGTCTGTAGCACAGGTATGCAAACACAAAGCCCATTGCCGAACCAACCACGACATCTTGGAGAGGAACAGAAGAAAGAGAATGCAAAGGTCATTCCAATGAGGGCTAACAGCAGCACATCTAATTTAAAAAACAAACACATCCCCTCCATCTCCAGAGCTGTGCATCTGCTTGGACAACTCTGGCATCAAGCCTACTGCCTTCATCAGCAAATCCAATTAAAAAGGAAGAGACTGTTCTGTCCAATATAAGACACTATATCAACTCAGATCAGTGGCCTGTCAAGCTCAGTCCAGTATCTCTTCACAGTATCAGGAAGAAGAGCTTGCCATCCATGCTACCTGATACACTTTCATTGGTGATGCTGTGGACTGAACCTGGGATCTTTTGACTTACCAAACTCACGCCCAAAGACAGTTATTGTTGGCTGCAACAGTGCAGATTAGTCAGCTTTAAATCAGATGTGCAATGCACTGGGATACAAGCCTTCGCAAGCTGAGTGTTTTTCTAGTAGATCAGCAAATGTGCAGGTTGCACAATAGGAAAAACAACACACAAACCCTGTGATATGAATGACATTTAGTAAGAATCATATTGCTTTTTAAACTTTATAAAATTACAAAAATTGTCCAACAGTCTCAACTTTACAATATTGCAAAAAAGTCCAACATTCTCAATGAGCACCCGGTTATAAGCCCATTTCAACAGCAGGTCTTCCTCAGAGTCAGGAGTAATCCTACATTGTAAGGAGGTGTCCGCTTCTTAATCCAGTTCAATATATTAATAGGAGTAAACTTCTTTATTTCCTTCAAAATGTCCTGGGAAAAACCATGGTAAATAAAAATTTGAAACAATTATATCCCATTCAGCTTCATGCTGCTTTTTATTTACCATGGTTTTTCCCAGGACATTTTGAAGGAAATAAAGAAGTTTACTCCTATTAATATATTGAACTGGATTAAGAAGCGGACACCTCCTTACAATATAGGATTACTCCTGACTCTGAGGAAGACCTGCTGTTGAAATGGGCTTATAACCGGGTGCTCATTGAGAATGTTGGACTTTTTTGCAATATTGTAAAGTTGAGACTGTTGGACAATTTTTGTAATTTTATAAAGTTTAAAAAGCAATATGATTCTTACTAAATGTCATTCATATCACAGGGTTTGTGTGTTGTTTTTCCTATTGTGCAACCTGCACATTTGCTGATCTACTAGAAAAACACTCAGCTTGCGAAGGCTTGTATCCCAGTGCATTGCACATCTGATTTAAAGCTGACTAATCTGCACTGTTGCAGCCAACAATAACTGTCTTTGGGCGTGAGTTTGGTAAGTCAAAAGATCCCAGGTTCAGTCCACAGCATCACCTATGAATGTGAATCTGGTAGCATGGATGGCAAGCTCTTCTTCCTGATACTGTGAAGAGATACTGGACTGAGCTTGACAGGCCACTGATCTGAGTTGATATAGTGTCTTATATTGGACAGAACAGTCTCTTCCTTTTTAATTGGATTTGCTGATGAAGGCAGTAGGCTTGATGCCAGAGTTGTCCAAGCAGATGCACAGCTCTGGAGATGGAGGGCATGTGTTTGTTTTTTAAATTAGATGTGCTGCTGTTAGCCCTCATTGGAATGACCTTTGCATTCTCTTTCTTCTGTTCCTCTCCAAGATGTCGTGGTTGGTTCGGCAATGGGCTTTGTGTTTGCATACCTGTGCTACAGACAGCATTACCCTCCTCTGACGGACCCCGACTGCCATCAACCGCTGCAACGCAAGTCCAGACTCTCTGCCCCCGAGAGGCAAAAGTTAACCCTCTCTGGCTTCAACCTAGATGTATAAAGGATACTCTCGGGGAGAAAGGGGGCACAGCCCTCCACAGGACCCTGTGCCTGGAGGGGGAAATGTTACCTCACTTTAAAGGGCCAGCAGCCTTAATGAAGGTGTGGGCCTGCTCCTCCTCTTCCCTTCCTCATGAGCCTGTTGGCAGAGAAGAGAGTATTGCATTTGGTGTGCACTACACTGGTGGTGAGCCATCCTTTTATCCCTGGCAGTGGCATCTTGCTGCACAGGATCAGCCCTGAATCCACTCTAAGGCCTGCTGCAAGAAGTGGTGTACAATTTTGGAGCAGTAGTGGGATCTAACAACAATCCAGTCCAATCCCTTGCCACAAAGCAGAAAATATTCTGCAGGGCAGTTGCTGTGGTCAACTCACGCAAACCTGGGTGCATGTTAGCTCACCGTGCATCGTAACAACATGTATGAAGCATGGCTTTAGCATGCAGGGCAGGTTACCTTTGTTTTCTGCCTACTCAGCTAGCACCTGCCTTTTTAAAAATATTCCCCAACTCTTTCTTACACACAGAGGCCATGTAGGACTTAGGTATGGCTTTCAGGAGTCTATTCCCTTAACTGCCTCCAGGAGACGGTTCTGTGCTGTATGACCAGGTTATTCTTTTCATATTGCCCAGACCACCTGTGCTTATCTTGGTAACTGATGCCAAAGTTGGGGTCTTTACCATTTTAACTTCCGTTTTGGAAGATGGTACTGTAGTCTTTGTGAAGTAGAGCTTGGAGGCAGCAGCTGTTGAGTGTGGAGAAATGAGGGTGCACAAGTCTTTCCGTGGCCTGGAGATGGAGTTTAAGTGTGTTCCTAGGTATTTTTTGCATGACTAACTACTCCCTATCCCTCACTGCATATCAATTTTAACTCCCTTCCCTCTTTCTATTCAATCCCTAATCTGTACCCTGAAAGTATCCATAGTCTGAAGACTTGAATCTTGGTATATACAAACTGGTCTATTTGTTTTGAATGTAGCTTTTGCATCTTTTTGGTGTAGAGCAAATCTAGCTCTAATCATACCAGGACAGGAGACATGACTTGGCATGTAGAAGGAGCCAAAGGCAAGGCCGGCAAAAGCAACTGCAAGATAGGAGAGGGATCCCAGTGAGACCCCAATAATGCCCAACCGTCTCCACACACACCCTTTAGTAATAGCAGCCTGTAAACATCAGGAAGGTATCTAGGCAGTTTATAGAGCAGGCTAGCCTTGAATTATGGAGACAGCGGCAATACTGTAAGTGTCCTCTCAGGGCTGCCTCATATTTTACAGGAGCTGGTCAATCGCTGCATTCTCATAACTAATCCTGCATTATTTGAACAACAGAACCCCCCGAACAGGCAAATCACACGGGAGGTTCCCACAACTGCACCCAAGACCCTAGTCTGCCACCCTAACCTTTACACCACATTGGCTCTCAAGGGATGCTAACGCCCGCATGATTCTGTTATTCGGGTGTTACTACCAATGATGAAGAAGCAGAAATCATTTTGCACTGGTAACATATGAATTGTCCCCTCCCCAAGATTACTACAAAAGGCATTAAAGCTTTAAAATCTTAATTTCCACAATGTTTGCGGTGCGTTTGCAGAAGAATTTCTTCCTACATTGCTGCAGAGCTAAAACAAAAGTTTAGGAGAAACTCCAGAATAATTAGGATTGCATCCTAGGAACAAGTTCCATGTGCGTTAGATAGGCTCTGCTAATGGTGCATACTTCTTCTTGTGCTAGGTCTTCCTTTTGCACAAGATCGATGGGTTTCAATGAGCCTTGTTGCAAACACGAGGGCCAGTGACTATATAGCGTCCACAGAACTTGTTCAGAGGGTCGAACTCTAAGGCATGAGATGGGCCTTGGGAACGCCTGAGCATATGCTGCACACTGGGTCATGCAGAAAGGCCTTCTGGGTGGCTCTTCCCTGCAGCACATGGCTTGGTTCACTTGAGAAAGCCACCTGGCATGATCAGCTCTGCAAACATATCCTCCCAATGAGAATGCCCTCTGCTCTGTAGTCTGGAGTGTACAGGTTGCTCGATCAAGAACTGGCGGACAGACAGCTCAGTTCCAGAAATGGCTTTTTGGTACACGCCATCTGAATGATCCCAGCTATTGAGGATGATCTGAACAGTAGCCCCTGGTTCCATCTGCTGCAGATGCACAGTTAAGAGGTCTAGGAGAAGCTAAGGCACACAATCGAGCTAGCAATCGTTATCAAATCTGATCAGCACTTCCTGTTCGTACCTGCAACCCATCCAGACCACCATCAAACTTACATGACGAATGCCCACTGGGGAAACTCTTGCGCCCTTCTGTCACTACCTCTGCGTCACCCGTGCACAACAGTTGAGCAGTTGCCCGTCCATCTGGAAAGCAGCGGAAGAAGAAATCGGGCCGAGGCCTGCAGCGAGGAAAGGAAGCAAAAGGATGAGACTCCGCAGGGCTAGCAAGAGCCCGAAAGAGGAAGCTGTCACCGTAGGATGCTTCTTCCAGGCGCCAAAAAAGCCACTGTCCTTGCTGCAGCCAATTCTAGGGGTCTCTTAAGGATGTGCAGGTAAGATACGTTTGTAGACAAGTGGTTTTCCGTGTTGGACTATCTGTCTAGGCAACAATTTCTCTCCCCTGAGTGGTCCCAATATCACAAATGGATTTGAGATTTCCTTTGGCCTTTTCTCTTTCTGTTTCAATGGGTACAGTTATCTCTTCTCTCGTTCTGTACAGACTCTTTCCTATCTTTTTCTTCCTCTTTATCTTCTCTCTCCTCTCCCATTCGTTAGAGGGTTTAAGACAATGGCAAAATCAAACACAAAACTAAGCAATTACTTTTAAGTAACATGCTAATAAAACTAAGAAAACACAGTCGCATAAGTGACAGTACTTAAAAAATCTATTAGCTAATTACAAACTATGTGAATGTTATATACTAAGTCTTGGATTGTTTATCTTTTATCAATTGCTGTAAAATTAATGTTTATACTCTGTTACGATTGTATTTGACTTTGCAAAGTTATAAATAAAAAAAGCCACTGTCCTTGCTGCAGCCAATTCCAGGGGTCTCTTAAGGATGTGCAGGTCTCTGCCTTTGCTTGACTGAACTTCAAATTAGACTTCTTAATTCAGCCACAGATGCTGCCAGAGCCGACTGCATCCTCTCGGCACGTTAAATCACTAACATCAGCTACAGTCCAATTCAGACTGGGGTCATGTAGGGTACATCCCCCCCCCCGATCAAAACTAGCCCTACTGTCCTGTACGTAGTCCTTACAGAGAAAAAATGTGGTTTGCCCATCTTTCCCCCCCCTTTGGGGGCGATGCATGTGTGCCTGTACGTGTGGTGGGGGATTTGTTTCAACTCGCATAACCATGTAGGGGAAAGTACTGAACTCCCCCTACCCATGCATAGCCCTCATTCTCCATGTGGCTGATTTTAGCATTCTAAAAACAGTGGAAGGATCCAGTTATGGGTCTCCCATTGTCTTATTCTAATTTGGCTCCAACTATCACTCTGCAGAGAGGAACACCTTTAGAGAATTCCCAGGGTACTGATTGTTACGACTGGGGACCCTGAACCCATGGCAACTGTTTATTTCCCACAACTGAGCCAGGGAAAACAGGAACTGGGTTTCCACATGAAAAAGCCCATTTAGCCTACCTGCCAAAGAAGGAGATGAACAGGCATCATAAAAAACCCGAGCCAGGGAAGAGAGAGAAGGGCTATGTGCCAAGGGACCTCATTGGCAGCTCTTACAATATCTCCCAAGAGAGTCAGGATTCCTCACTCTGAATGGGGGTGGGGAGGCTTCCGCCAAAGCAGGCAGGAGTTTTAAAAGGCGGAATCTTCCTTTTCCTGGGTTCAAATACTTCTGCCGAGATGCTGTGACCTGTGAGGCCCATCGTCCTCTGTCAGGGGAGCGGTAAAGAGGTGGTGGTGGGGTATTTGCGCCATCTGAAGGTAACTGTCCTGTACTGTGATTCAGCTAGACTTTCGTTCCACTGAGCACATGGCTGAGGACAGTGAGGGTGAGAGAGATCCGCTGGACTCCCTCTTTCCCTTCCTCTCTACTGGCTGCCTCCACCTGTGATGGATATTAGGGCGCCATCTGATGCAGTGAAGAAGTCTTAGATTTTAACTTATAATAATGTGGATTTTAAAACTGTAATATGCTGAAGTATTGTATTCTGATTGTTGTAAGCTGCCCTCAGGCCTGACAGCCCTAGCCTAGTGGTTAGTGGCCTGATACTTCACAAATCCGCCCAAAAGGTTTACATTCGAGTGTTGCTACCAAGGCAGCTCTTACTCTGTTTTTTTCTATATGAAACGCGGAACTTTTTCAATCTCAAATTTTTAAAATGTAATTGTTGGATTTGATGTGTTGTTTCATTGTCACATTATTCTGTATGACCTTGTAAGCCGCCCTGAGCCCGTTTGCGGGAAGGGCGGGACAGAAATCAAAGAAATCAAATAACAAATAAATAAATTATAATGGAGTGGGATATGTCTAATAACATAAATAAATACATGTTTGTTTTAATTTTCCTTAGACCTGTATCTCCTGTGATAACTATTTTCCATGTATGTGCTCCAGGGGTCATTTCGTAGAAAAAGAGCTAGGGGGACTCATTAGCATAACTCATTAGCATATGCCACACCCCCTGACATCACCGGAAGTGTGTCCTCCCCACAGCCAGCGGCGACCTCCAGCGGGCACCAGCAGGGAGCTCCAGGCCCCGCCCTCCCGCCCCTCACCCGGGGGGATGGCGTCCCCCCGCGTCCCCCCCAAATGACCCCTGATGT